AAACGGTCGAATACCGTAGATCACTTTTAACCTATAGAAGCAACTGCGAACAAGTTCGGCCACATGAGTGTCAAATTTAAGATGACCGTCCATAATTATACCCAAATTTCGGGCCTCCGCTACCTGAGCAATCTTCTCACCATTAATTGAAAGAACTGGCGCATGTGACTGGATGTTTCTCACTTGTTTACAAGATCCTAGCATCAAAAGCTGAGATTTAATTGGATTCAAGACCAAGGCATTGTTCTTGGACCAAATAGATAAGCGGTGTAGATCCTCATTAATGAGGATGGTACTTTCGGCGGTTCTATCTGGTTCGAAAGACAGATGTAACTGAACATCATCCGCATAGAGGTGATACTTGCAGTTTTTAATGCAGCCCGTGATATCTGAAGTGTAAAGCACAAATAGCAACGGCCCCAATATAGAGCCTTGCGGCACGCCCCTGTCAACAGCACTCAGATCCGACAGCAGGCAAGCACCATTGGATTTCGACAATTTTACTTGTTGCGTACGGTTAGGAAGGTAACTTCTGAACCATTCCAAAGCCGATGAGTCGCAACCGTAGTATTTTAATTTTGAAATAAGTAAAGGAATATTAATTGACTCGAAGGCTCTGGAAAAGTCCAAAAGTACCAGAGCAGTTCCCTTGCCAAAATCTTGAGCACTGAGAACTTCGTCTATGACGTCATGTAAGGCAGTATTTGTACTGCGCCCCTTCCTGAAACCGGACTGCATCACAGGCAGGACATTGTTAGCCTCTAAGAATTTTGATAACTGCAAGTACACGATCTTTTCTAAAATTTTTGAAAGATAGGGCATAATGCTTATGAGACGTAAATCTTTCACACTTTCTGGACTATTTTTCTTGGGAATGGGAGTTATTATTGCTGTTTTCCAAAGTGAGGGGAAAGTCGAAGTAATAATTGACGAATTAACAATATTAGTAATCACATTAAGAGTATGCGGGAGAGTTAACAGTACCATGTCCGCGCTAATGCCATTCGATCCCAATGCATTGGATTTCAATCCAAGAACGATTCTACCAATGGTGTCTTCATTAACAGGAACAAGTTTAAACGTGGATTCTGAGAACGTGTGATGCTCATAGTATGATATAGTTTCCACACTAGGGTTGCTGTCTCCTGGTACATTAAGAAAATGTTTATTTATTTGGTTAGGGTCATTAAAATAGATTGCCAGATCGAAATTAATTTGTATTTGTATGGTTTAGCCCATTGGTAGGCCCTGAAACTACGTAACCGAGTTTCGTTTGCTGTAGGATTGGACAGTTATTACCTAAACGTACCTATTTGACCTTGCTCAAGCAAGTCCCAGAAAATGTCTGCGCCAAGTAGAATGTCTATTCTCGACGGATTAAAATATTCATGCTCGGTCAGTGTGATGTGTGTTGGTATATTTAGTTTAGGTATACTGACTTTGTTTGACAAAAGAGTTGCTATGTTCGGCAAGACCAGGAACGACATATTTGTATTGTATGGTGTCGCTTCTACCCTAATGAATGCACTGCAGCGCTTCGTTATTTGTGATACTGTATTGTTGATGCGAACTACGTATGACTTTGTTTGTGTATATTTTAAACGTAATTTACGAACCAAGGAATCCGTCATGAAGGAAACCTGGCTTCCTGAATCGAGAAGTTCTTTGACTTCATGGCGGTGGTTGTCCTTGTCGTATATGTATATTAATGCAGTTGAGAGCAAGACGCGCCCTGTCGGTTCGACTGAGAGCGACGTCGCGCCCTCAACTGGCGGATCGGTTGTACGCGGCGCTGAATCTGGATGTAGCACCGTGTTGTGATTTTGGTTACATTTCATTCATGGGTCCAATCTACAAACGCGAGGCTGATGATCGGGGCGGAGGCAGTTTTCGCAAATTTTGTGACGGTGTGACCTCCTTACACCGTCATCCCACCTTTTTATATCGCCTCTCTCTATTCGTATCGTATCGTTTTTTCTTCTTCTACTCATATTTAAATTTAAAATTTTGAATTGTTTCATTCTTTCCCTCGCATTCAGATTTTGTTTCGTTCCATCGTCTCTCCCTGCTCGATCGCGGCAGAAAACACATCTCGTTAATTTTTTTGAACCATTTTACAAGTTACCAAAAATGTCTTATGCTATAAACATTTAAAACATCAAAATAACTTCAAAACTAATATAATTTTTATAAAACCGGATTTATTCCCACTTGAACTACCAAACTCACTAAGCAAGATCTGCGGTCTACAGAACATTCCAAGCGGTATCATGATGCTGGATTCTCGGCAGCGGGTATATTGTTAGATATGACAAAGGCATACGATAAGGTTCACCTCATTTTATTAAACAAATTATATGCGGTAGGAATAAGAGGTATTGCATATGATTGGTTTAAAACATATTTACAAAACAGGCAACAGATAGTAGAAATAAAATATTTTGACTAAAAAACCCAACAAATTTCTAATATTTCATCTGACATTCAATTAATCATTCAATCCCACAAGACTCCGTACTCGGGTGTATTTTATTTTTAATTTACATAAATTACCTTTTTTTTTTTTTAAGCCAAAATCCATAAATTAAACGTGTGTACTATTCGCCGATGACATTTCACTCCTCACTCCTTATTCAACGGATGATAACCTAGATCTAAACACAAATTAAACTTGCATTAGATGATGTCGTAAATTGGCTAAATGACCATAATTTACATTGACTTACAAATAATTTAGTAATAAACTGTACAAAAACAAAAATTATGCAATTTTTTTTCCATCCTCTAAGTGCAATTCAGACTACCAAAAAGCTCCATTGACTATAGACTTCACTTACAAGGACAATATAGAAAGTCTTAATACTTTCACGCATGGAATTAATAAGTACTTCGTACAACTGGAAAGCTCACTGCAATTATTTTGACATATCAAAATGAACGTTAAATGAATAGCAATAAAATACTTTTTAAATAACCAATATCTCCTTAGAGATCTGAGCTCAAGTGAGACATCTTCTTTCTTGGTGTGTCCCTTTCGCACAATTGCCATGTGAGATATTTGATACAATACGGTATATGACTATAAAAAAAAATTGGCATAAAAACAATACGTCATTTTGTCCATGAATATTATAAGATGTTTGTAAATAATACCATACCAACTATGAATGCAATAGGTCGCAAATAAATCAAAGTCTTTATATTATTTCACGATATTTAAATATTATTGGAAAGTTTTATTTGTTTTACATTAGGCAACACTAAAATAATATGGCGTCATGTCCATGTAAGAATTGTTACACTAGTCAGAAAGAGACGGACCAAGATTTATGACATCTCGCTCGGCGCACGCTTCAATACACAGTAAGCCTTCCAGTTGTACGAAGTACTTATTAATTCCATGCTTTCACGTTATTGGGGTTTGACATAGATACGAACATTAATTGTAAAGCTCATATCTCATATAGAAAAGATAGCGCTGAAATTATCTAGATTTACATACGCACTCTGGGAACTTAAAAAGAACAAAAAAACGGCCATAACAGCATACTACACTTACGCTTATGCATGGCTAAGCTACGGAGTAATTTTGTGGGGAAATAGTGCGCAAGTAGGTTCACCATTAATCTTACAGAAAAAATGAATAAGAATCATAAAACATTTAAAGAATACCGATAGCTGTAAACCATATTTTAAGACTTTAGAAATATTATTACCATCGAGATACATTCTACAATCTGCCAAATTTGTAAGAACTTATCCACATTTTTACACAAAACAGTGGGTATCCATCACGTCGCTTTCCCACAAGATACCAAAATATATTAATCATGCCATCATCAAAAATGGTAATATATAGATCCAGCCCCCTAGCTATGTGTATACGCTAGATAATACGAACGCATGGTGTAGTTCCTAGCTATGAAATGTTTGTGATGATATAAAAATAATTATTGTCAGGTGAATCTGATCTAATTAGTAGTAGATTTAATTTATGTCAAATTAAGAAATGTAATTTGATAACCTACGAAATGAAGACATGTAATTGGAAGCTTACCAATACTGTCGATAAAGGGGAAAGTGGTAATACTATTCATACATGGTCATTAAAGAAATTAAAAAAAAAACAGCACTGCCGTATCACACACGTCTATTATCTTAAGATAGGTGAGTTACGCGTAACAAGGTTTAACTGAATTATTTCGGTCTACTTTATAAGAGTACAAAATATTATTTTTTTGGAAAATGTATTTACGAAGATATAGTAGGTATCGCCAAATGCTTGTAAAATTATAACGCGATTTTCATTTATCTAAACTTAATTGAAATAGGCTATTGCCTATATAATAGGCTATTGTATTCAATAACAACAGCATTTACGATAATACCGCATACCTCTCGCAATTCGAGTTACGTGACATAATTCTTTTATTTTAACTTTAATTATTTAAAATAAATAAGTACGTAAAATAATAAATATAATTATTATCCAAAGTGGATTTGACAACATCAGAATTGTTATAATTACATTTGTAGTGATAATGATTTGTCGACAGGACCGAACTTCCTGCTGCGTCTGGCCATACCGACTACGCTGCTGTACCTGTCACGACTGCATTACTCCACGAAGTCTGAGGAGATAGTGGAGTACATCAGACATAAAGTCAAATACACCCTGAGAGTCGAGCGGTTGGAGTCACGCCACAACGTAAATTTTAATTCGTTTGTGGTGAGAGTACCGACCGAACATCTCTCGACCTTCATGAAGGAAGAGTTTTGGCCGAATGGCCGAATGCCCAAAGGGTGTCATGTATCGGCGATACCGCGGCCGGTTACCTGACACCAGATTGCGCCACACGTCGCCGACAAGTGCAATTCGTGTAGATTAGTTAGAAATAGTGTTTTATTATATTGTATGTATGTTATTCCTTAAGGTATATATTATATGAGTGTTTCTTATATAGAATTGTATTATTATGTATGTTAGTCTATAAGGTATGTATTTATGGGTCTTTGTAACTTGTATACAAATAAATCCGAATTCTCTATATGTTGAATGAAATTGACATATACATATATATGACATAATAAATAAATAAAAAGGAAGATGATGTTTTTTCTATGAAAAAAAAAAACTTACGTGCGCAGGTATATTCATCAATAACGATTCAATATTCGTACGCCTGTATTTATTGTTACATCTACCCTCTACAACTCTCAAATTGGCATGTGGAAAGAGCTTTAAACAATGGCTACAATTGAATAAAAGATGGCAAAGTACCTAATTTACACCTAGTAGGTTTGATCACTTCATATGTTTCACTAACACCTGTACTGTCTCCTACTTCTTTGTAATACCTACAACCCAATAAGTTGCTTTTCAACACATTGGTCTGTTTATTTTCATCAGCCTCACTAGTCCTTCTATGCTTGAAATCAGCTTTTAGGACTTTAGTCGTAATGTTTGTTTTACTTGATTTGATTAGTTTTTTATTTGATGTATGTGGATATGGGCATTGCTTTTTGTAGCAAACACCCTTCATAGCTATTTCTGGACAAATGTTGATGTGGCGATTTAAACATTCATGTCCTTTTTCACAGTATCCTTTCAAAAAGTCAATGCAAATTTTAGTATTTTCACTTAATTTCACATGCAAGTAAGGACAATCTTCTTTAGTACACATTCCTTTAAGATAGAAGTGACAAGTTGGCATTTTCTCCTTGCTTACATCGTGCGAGAGAAGGCATTTATTGTCATGACAGATACCTTTAAGAAATTTTCTGCATATGGATACATGTTTCTTATCATGCAAATATTCACATTTTCCTCGAGTACTCCTAAGGCATTTCCCATATTTACTGAATAAAGGACATGGAATATTATTTTTCTTGAAGTGAGTTTTGTTCATCTTCAACTTTGCTTTGACATTGATGCGCACATTTCCTTTAGTGATACTGAAAGATGACTTCCTATTCACCATAGTTTTGGTTCCAGTTTTTATTGGTGTGACTTGTGATTTTCGTTTGATTATCTTATATCGACTTGCAAATGCATTAGCACTGTCACTTACTTTTACTTTAGATGTCTTCTTACTTTGCACGCTTAACTGTTTAGTCAAAAGCTTGAATGGTGTTTCCTCAACACTTTTCCGTGAATGTAAGTTGTTCTTCAATTGCTGCATGGACACCGATTTATATTTACTTATTTTGTAAGTAGTTACTTTGTCCAAAGGTTGATTTTCTTTGATTTGTTTGTTATTAGTACACCTTATTAAACTGTACCTTGATTTTGTTGTTGAGGCTGTTGGCTGTGGGAATATTGTTGTACAAATACTTTGAGTACTTGGAATTTGAGTTGTTGGAGTTAGATTTTTGCTAGGTAGCATTAATACTGATTTTCGATAATTATTGCTACTTAGTACAGTAGTGTTTGTTCTGATAAAATTTGGATTGACATAGATTTTTGTACTGTTCATAGTATTCATTTGAAAGTTGGGCATGCATTGTGTAAAATTAGGATTTATATGCATTGATTTGTTTGGTGGTACATTCCTCTGGCCTCTATGGAAGTTAGGGTTTAAGAACACTCTATTGGCTCCTTGCTCCATAATTCAGGTTATTGTAAAGAGAATTGGAATAATTTATTTCCACTTCTACAATGCACTCGGTTTACAATAACGTTTTGTAGAGACTTTCCTATCTCCTGAGCCACAATATCATTGAGATTTTCTACAATATCTTCAAGTTCCCTCTTTTTATTCCCATTAACCCACAGAATGCTCATGTGAAATGATGGATCCTAGAACAATTACATTCCATAAAATTTTTGGAGTTTCTCTAGTTATTTACCTAAAATTATACCGTAAATATTGACAATATTATATCAAAACAGTTACCTCATAAAATGTAGGCAGGCTGCATTCGTCTAAAATCTCATCTACCTTTGAAGTTATTTCTTGCAAACTTTTATTGCTGCTATAATCCACTTTCAATGCTATGAAAGTCCTTGTGTTTTCATCATTGCAGTATACTTTTACAGAATCAAAGGACAAGTTGATTCTGAAAAAAGGGATATAATGTATTATGAATAGTAAATAAGAAATTACTAATGACAGTATATACTCTATACTCTCATTAGTAATTCTAATATCTAATAGTAGAAGCTCGAAGCCGAAGGATGAGGGCTTTAATAACTCGAGTTTAGCATTTTTTTACCATCCATGATATGTATATATATATATATATATATATATATATATGTGTGTGTGTGTGTGTGTGTGTGTGATATATATTATATATATATATATATATATACACACACTGACACAAATACACAAATAAACATTGTATTGTCATCTACAATACAATCACAAAAAAAAACAAATAAATCACAAATACAATGTTTATTTCTTGTATGAATAAATATGGTTCACAACACAACAATTAGTGTGGATTTTGCAAATGGCAGATATTTTGTTTTTTTTTTATCAACAGATGGCCAGCTATCTATTCTTCTATAGATTAATACAACTTGAACTAAAATTTTTACAAATTTTACAAAGGCCTTGCAGTGTATAGTCCTATAAGCTCTAAGTAAAGGGCAAATCAAAGACACATACAGCCATAATGGATTGTAAAAAAAATTACTAAATTTTTATACAGAGAATAATTAAAACAATGAGAAGAAATTCTTAACGATAAGTAATAAATTTAAATAGTATGTGGCTTAGTTGCAATTAAATTTCTGTTTATATAACATTTTAAGCGAATTTTTAAATTTTGAATTTAAGTAACCTCCTTGCTTGAACTTGACTTATGTAAGGAAGTGTAATATTATGCTACTAAAAAAACTCCTTACCGCCCATGACTGTAATGGGAAGAAAAAAGGGTCATTTTCATGGACAACTCATGCTTGATCAAAAGTATGACTATGACAAAATTGTTTTCACAAAAAAATACTTAAAGGTTCCTAAGATAGTGGCCTTGTATCCTCCATAGTTTCAGATTCCTCCACACTGTCCCATTTAAAAGAAAACACTCTGTGTACAGCATAGGTATTAATACAAAAATAACTATTTAAATACCATAAATACCTAAATACCTTTTCAATCCAGTTAATGCTTCTTGCAATGATGTAGTAAATGGGGATATAAAATGATACTTCAACACAGCAGTTTTTGATAAACTAATATGAAAATCCTCACACCTCTGGCAAGGTTCTTTGTCAAGTATCTTGACAACTGCAGATTGTAAATTGTTCACCAATTCAAACAACCCTTCCTCATCAGAATCTGGAATAAAAAATGTTAAATTGGTATGAATATAAGTATAAATGATTAATTATGGCCCCTTAAAATCATTGTTGAAAAATAAAATATATGGAAGTGCTTAGTGGATGTGGTGTTTAACATTATGGTCATGTAAATTATTTGATTTTTGAATAATTTAATTATCCATTGTGGTGTTTCATATCATTGTTAAAATTAATTAAAATTAAATTAATTTTACCTACTAACAACAAAAAATAAAATACTAAAGTAAACCTTACATTGCTACATGATTGACTTTTTTTTTGGAAAATGTTCATGGAAAGTAACTGCATTTATTATAAAATTAACAATTAGAGTATGATAGTATGGGGTATCCCGTTTCGCTCTTCACTTCTCCATACAGTAGTATCAACAACATACTGACAAAATTCTATGATTTACACACATTTTATACTGAATTCATATAAGCACTATGGAAATAAAAGTATGGACACTTTTGTGTGTGGTACTATTTAAGTACTGTCCATGAAAGACTTTATCGATGTTAACAGTTTGCCGTCTTCCAGCTATTGTCACTCAATGACAACACATAGAATGGAATTTCAATATAAAATCAAAATGTTGTAACTTGTAATGATAGGTATTGAACTTTCAACAATATACCAACAAAGTTTAAAAGAACAGTGCAGAAATTGTTACATCTTTTAAAATTACAAACTACAACCAATCATTATCAAGATTTCATTGTGTTTTACATTATGATAGTGTGAGTTTTGGCAACAGCAGTTCTGATAGTAATCAAAGCTAATTAATAAAAAAATAAAAATAAAAGGCTAGTAATTAAGTCCCTTGCATTGTTTTTCTTCTTCCATGTATGAGACGCTATGACCGACGCCTAAATGATGACGCCTAAATGTTTCAGTGTTGACTAAAATATGTTATACAGTGTTACAAACTTAACTGACAACACTTGCACTTGTTTAATGAAAACAGGGTATTTGAAATACATACATTTAATGTAAACAAACGTGGCCCAATTTCCTCTCACATGAGGAAACGTACGAGTCCGTCCGTCGTGCTGTTTGGGGTCGTCCAAATGCTCTTCGCAAACTGGAATGACTGTTACTTTGCTCAAATCTGGAGTAGGTAGCTTTGGTCTGAAAAATTTGATTTCTACTATTACAATGTAGGCAATTGCCTGTTTAGCAGTACAGTTTTGTAAAGATAGGAGTCTTTTCTGTCCCACAAAATAAAAATAATACAAGTTAGGGTCACAAGGAAATACAATGTACTGATTCTGTAAGTCGCCGTGACAAGAAACACTAAAAAAACTTAAATCAAAATTCGAGACAATCACAGGCAAACTATATGTAAGCAAAAAGGTTTTCCAACAAGTGTGTACAATTGTCTAATCAATTGACATTGGCAATTGACTTATTTATATACAACCTTCAACAATTAGAAATTTCTGTAGGTAAAAATATATAATTGTGTACTTAAGTATGTATAATTATGTATGTATCACACATGGAAAGTGCACCTTTTATAGCCCCTAGGCACAATCTCACAATCACTATCGTCTGAATTCGATCCGTACCCGTATCCACAAATGTAAGACAGAGCAGACATTTAGATACAAATATTTTATTATGTTATGAGATTTTCTGGCAGAACCTATGAAGAAAACAAGAAACAGTAATGGATAAATGCTACGCAAAAATCTATTTTAATCGCACAATATAAACGTATAAAACAATCGAATATGGATCACAAATTAGAAAGATATATATGGATTGGATCAATTTGTGATTCAATTGCACTCAATCACAAAATAAAAAGATACTAATGAAATGAACACGTATCTGTCAATGAAAAAGAAACTGACTGATATAATCATGATCTATGGATCATACACTCTTCAACTTCAACTTTTGTGTCTATGGCTCCGTCGTTTTGCGCGACGATTTTGCCAATGTCAGGGTTGAGAGACATGTGTAGCGGTCTTAGAGGATGGAAAAAAATAAAAGAAGTAGCGGTAGTGAGATAGATTGCCGGTTATTAAAATACATATTTGAGACTGACTGACAATATGCGTGACGACATGACGACATTATCAATTGACATTTGGATTTGAATGAAAATTCACACAGATGAATTCATTCGCTCCCATTTCCGCTTGTGTGACTTTGAAACTTTTTATATCAAGTGACAGGACTTAACGTGGGCGTTCATTATCCTGCATTGCAATCCGCCTTGCCTTCCGCCGCGTAATGGTCTATCCACACATATCCGGGCCGTACTTAATACTGAATTGTGAATGTAATCGCAGCGTGCAAGCCATCCTGCGAGAGTCCATACGCATAATAGTGTGTGAGTTGCCTCCTGCCTTCGCGGCGGACTGCAATGCAGGTAGCGAATGGGCCGTTGAAAAAACTCATTATGAAGATATAATATTACAGTTTTATTTATATAAAAACTTTTATGTTTCTAATCTGTACTTTAAACTTAAATTATTGTTTTAAACTACTATTGTATTGTAATAAATTACTTTCTGCTTAGTTAACATGTAGCCTGAAAGACGTGAATCCAAAGTCATGAAAAAAATAGCATTTCTTTTTATGGCTATCATCAAAATAATAATATCAAAATATTGGATTCACTTTGATTTTTTTCCATCCTTTATGGGATTCACTCATAGATACTCCATCCTATAGGCATAGATACGAGTTTTAAACGAAACGATTCACGTAGTGCTTAAATTCTCTTTGCGATTCACTTGTGAATTCTCCGAATTCTTGTCTGGTCACATGCAGAATTTAAAATACGGATACTATGTCTCCGAAAACTATTACAGAAGATACGATCCAGTGTAACTTTTATTTGACGGCAGGGAATTATACTGATTCGGCGTTTTTGGAAGAACTGTGTATTTCTGTAAATAAAACTATTCAAAAATTGTCAGAAGGTTACATTTGGCATCGGGACGAATTTAAAGTTTATGTGCCTTTGAATAAAGAAAAGCATGGTACGTAAGCTTATATTACGTTTTGGCAAGCATCTTATAATGCATAACATAACTCTGATTAAATGTTTACTTCTTTCAGACTGTTCACCACAATTGGTCAGTACAACGTGTTTCGGAGACAACATTGAAGACGAGTGGTTAATTGTATATCTCATACTGGAAGTCACAAAAGTCCACAGCAACTTGATAGCGCAAGTACAAGATAATGATGGCGATTTTCTCCTTATTGAGGCTGCTGATTTTCTCCCGGCTTGGGCAAACCCTGATACTACAGAAAACAGGGTAATTATTATTTATGTAATCCTATT